ACTACTCGGTGTGGGACAGAGACTACTCTGTGTGGGACAGAGACTACTTAGTTTGGGACAGAGACTACTTAGTTTGTGACAGAGACTACTAAGTGTGGGACAGAGACTACACTGTGTGGGACAGAGACGACTTGGTGTGAGACAGAGACCAGTTGGTGTGGGACAGAGACTCCTCTGTTTGGGACAGAGACTCCTCTGTGTGGGACAGAGACTACTTAGTGTGGGACAGAGACTACACCGTGTAGGATAGAGACCACTTGGTGTGGGATAGAGACTACTCTGTGTGGGACAGAGACTACTCTGTGTGGGACAGAGACTACTCTGTGTGGGACAGAGACCACTCTGTGTGGGACAGAGACTACTCCGTTTGGGACAGAGACCACTCGGTGTTGGACAGAGACTACTTGGTGTGGGACAGAGACAACTCTGTGTGGGACAGAGACAACTCGGTGTGGGACAGAGACAACTCGGTGTGGGACAGAGACAACTCGGTGTGGGATAGAGACAACTCTGTGTGGGACAGAGACTGCACTGTGTGGGACAGAGACTACTTAGTTTGGGACAGAGACTACTTAGTTTGTGACAGAGACTACTAAGTGTGGGACAGAGACTACACTGTGTGGGACAGAGACGACTTGGTGTGAGACAGAGACCACTTGGTGTGGGACAGAGACTCCTCTGTGTGGGACAGAGACTCCTCTGTGTGGGACAGAGACTCCTCTGTGTGGGACAGAGACTACTTAGTGTGGGACAGAGACTACACCGTGTAGGATAGAGACCACTTGGTGTGGGATAGAGACTACTCTGTGTGGGACAGAGACTACTCTGTGTGGGACAGAGACAACTCTGTGTGGGACAGAGACTCTTCTGTGTGGGACAGAGACTACTCCGTTTGGGACAGAGACCACTCGGTGTTGGACAGAGACTACTTGGTGTGGGACAGAGACTACACTGTGTGGGACAGAGACCACCCTGTGTGGGACAGAGACCACCCTGTGTGGGACAGAGACCACCCTGTGTGGGACAGAGACCACTTGGTGTGGGACAGAGACCACTTGGTGTGGGACAGAGACTACTTCGTGTGGGACAGAGACTACTCCGTGTGGGACAGAGACTACTCCGTGTGGGACAGAGACTACTCCGTGTGGGACAGAGACTACTTAGTTTGGGACAGAGACTTCTTAGTGTGGGACAGAGACTACACTGTGTGGGACAGAGACCACTTGGTGTGGGATAGAGACTACTTGGTGTGGGACAGAGACCACTCTGTGTGGGACAGAGACTCTTCTGTGTGGGACAGAGACTACTCTGTGTGGGACAGAGACTACTCTGTGTGGGATAGAGACAACTCTGTGTGGGATAGAGACAACTCTGTGTGGGATAGAGACAGCTCTGTGTGGGATAGAGACAACTCTGTGTGGGACAGAGACTACTCTGTGTGGGACAGAGACTACTCTGTGTGGGACAGAGACTATTTAGTTTGGGACAGAGACTATTTAGTTTGGGACAGAGACTACTTAGTGTGGGACAGAGACCACTTGGTGTGGGACAGAGACTCCTCTGTGTGGGACAAAGACTCCTCTGTGTGGGACAAAGACTACTCCATGTGGGACAGAGACTCTTCTGTGTGGGACAGAGACTACTTAGTTCGGGACAGAGATTAATTAGTGTAGGACAGAGACTACACTGTGTGGGACAGAGACCACTTAGTGTGGGACAGAGACCACTTGGTGTGGGACAGAGATCACTTGGTGTGGGATAGAGACTACTCTGTGTGGGACAGAGACTACTTAGTGTGGGACAGAGACTTCTTAGTGTGGAACAGGGACTACCCTGTTTGGGACAGAGACCACTTGGTGTTGGACAGAGACTACTTAGTGTGGGACAGAGACTCTTCGGTGTTGGACAGAGACTACTTAGTGTGGGACAGAGACTCTTTGGTGTTGGACAGAGACTACTCTGTGTGGGACAGAGACTACTCTGTGTGGGACAGAGACTACTTAGTGTGGGACAGAGACTCTTTGGTGTTGGACAGAGACTACTTAGTGTGGGACAGAGACCCCTCGGTGTTGGACAGAGACTACTCAGTGTGGGACAGAGACTCTTTGGTGTTGGACAGTGACTACTCTGTGTGGGACAGAGAGTACTCTGTGTGGGACAGAGACTACTTAGTGTGGGACAGAGACCACTTGGTGTGGGACAGAGACTCCTCTGTGTGGGACAAAGACTACTCCGTGTGGGACAGAGACTCTTCTGTGTGGGACAGAGACTACACTGTGTGGGACAGAGACCACTTGGTGTGGGATAGAGACTACTCTGTGGGGGACAGAGACCACTCTGTGTGGGACAGATACTCTTCTGTGTGGGACAGAGACTACTCTGTTTGGGACAGAGACCACTCAGTGTTGGACAGAGACTACTTAGTGTGCGACAGAGACTACTTAGTGTGGGACAGAGACTACTTAGTGTGGGACAGGGACTACTCTGTTTGGGACAGAGACCACTTGGTGTTGGACAGAGACTACTTAGTGTGGGACAGAGACTCTTTGGTGTTGGACAGAGACTACTTAGCGTGGGACAGATACTCTTCGGTGTTGGACAGAGACTACTTAGTGTGGGACAGAGACCCCTCGGTGTTGGAGGAAATCTAACATATTCAGCCAATAAGGATGGTCCAGTAGCGTTTTGCTGCAGAGGGACAGAGGAAGCTGTGCTCCATGACAGCAGGTGTGAGCTGTCACAGAGCGCAGTTGCGGAGCAGTGAGACAGAATTCATGGCAAAAGTTTAGATATTGCAGCGATCTGTGACAGATGTTGCTTCTCTATAGTTTAGTGGGTTCTGGTATATGAAAGAGGAGAAGGATGAATGACCAGCAGACAGATCAGCTGTTTAGCTGGAATATGGAAAGAGGAGACCCAGCAGCCGGAGTCTGACACCAAAGCGAGGGTTTTAAAAGCAAAGCTTCCTCTTTGAAGAAGATGAGCTGGGTCATGAGCTGACACTAAAAAGAAGTGTTTTTATCTTTTCGGCTTTGTTTTGGTTAGCGGTCTGCTTAGTGACGTAAGCTTCGGGATAGGGATGCACGTTTACCAAAATGTCTTTAACCGGCTATTGACACCTCTTAATGGTTAATAGCCAGTTAACCGGAAACCAACCACAACTCCACCCCCAACACACACAAACATTCGCCTCCTCTCTACGAATAATAACGCTATAATAATAACGCTTTTACCATCTACCTATCTATCTTCCTTTTAATATAATTCTGACGCACACCTAAAGTCCCACACTCATTACGTTTATTAACCAGAAGTAAAGGGAGAGTGGGATGACAGCTGGAATGTCCGTCAGAACGAGTTGCACAGCCGACCGTCTGAGATCAAATACACAGTGCTGCTTGTGATTGCGTGCTTATAAGCACAACCTGGAGGCCACGGTTTAAAAAAATTTGTTTTCTTACATTAAACTAAATAATTACACTGACATTTCAAATTAGGAGTCAGATACAAGGAGTGTCACGGCACACTGACCTGTTCCTGGTCTTGGTTCAGTTTGCCGCGCCGTGTCCTGCCCGGCTCAGCGCTCCGATGTGAGGCTTATTGTGTTCCACGAATGAAATAACTAAGAATAAACTGATCCAGCGCTGCCTTGTTGTCAACTGCTTCCTGTTTGGGCACATTTATTTGGTAATGTGGCAAGCTCATTTCTTCTTCTGCAGTCACCCAGTAAACATATTTGATAGCGGCGCTCTTGCACCCTCTGGTGGTATAAAATATATTGCACCTAGCGCACCAGAAGGACTTGAAGCGGTTAATCGGGAAAAACTAGTTTACCCGGTTAAAACGTTAATGGCAATTAACCGGTTAACTATGTATGTCCCTACTTCGGGAGGGGCGCTCAATTCTCAGCGTGTCCTGCTGAAGAGAGACATTGTGCAGTCTGGCTCACCGAAATCTTACGCCATACAGCGTGCCACCTTTCTGGAGTTCTCACAGTGTGACATGAACAATCCTGTGCACGGCCAAAAATCACACAGTGTGATCCAGGCCTAAGGGAGAACCCAGCCACCCCGTGGAGAAATCTCATTTCCAAGATCTCGTTCTTTCAGTCACTACCCAAAGCTCGGGACCATAGCTGAGTGTAGGAACGTAGATCCACCGGTAAATCGAGAGCTTCGCCCTCTGGCTCAGCTCTCTCTTCACCACGACAGATTGGTACAATGCCCGCATCACTGCAGACGCACCAATCTGCCTATCAATCTCACACTCTAGCTTTCCCTCACTCGTAAACAAGACCCTGAGATACTTAAATTCCTCCACTTGGGGCAGGACCTCATCCCTGTCCTGGAGAAGGTGTTCTACCCTTTTCCTATTCAAGACCATGGTCTCGGATTTAGAGGACCTTTAAAATTTCTTCAGGAATTTTCTAGTAATCTCCATTCCATTCCATAGTGTAATGTAACACTTAACAAAGTAATCTGAGTCAGAAGAGGTGATAGTAGTTTTTATGTGTTATATGTAGGCATAGGTACCTTTGACATTTGAATCTATACGGTACCAATTCCAGGTACCTATGAATCAATACCGGTACTTAACTGTACCAGTTTTAGATACCTTTGAGTGTTTAATAACCATTTAAATTGATTTTAAATGAAATGTATTATTTTCCATATTTGATAAATATCATGATAAATAACAAACAACTGTTAGTATTTTATCATCGTAGTGTTGTACAAAGTTCTTGAATATGAAAACCTTTAACAACAACAGTTTCTAAATGACGCAAAAACAAACCCAGCTCTATGCCCTCTCTAATAACTCTGAGGAGGAGGAGACCATGTATCATAAACTACAAGTGAAACTAAAGCAAACTTTGATACCATACAACAGTTTGTATTATAATATTGTGGTGTTTCACTAACTAAACCCAGCCAGATGCCATACCTATCCCTAGTTATTTGGGTCCTGTCTCACCCTGTTCTTTCTTTTGTTATTTTAAGGAGGAAGCCCAAACTGCGCAGCATGTAAGTACTGACAGAAACATGTTCCCCTTTCTATGTGTTTACATCCATTTACCGTAGAATTTTTATGTTTTCACATATGTCCATGCAGATATATACCATGATCAAATTCTGCTCATTGATGCTAGATACACCAATTAGCTAAGAAATTATGATCACCAGCCTTAGGTTAGTTGGCCTTTAGACAATGCAACATTGTCAGGTGGAGGTGTCTTTTTAGCAGTGGTGTCTTATATGTAGTAGTCTTTTTAACATTGACTACGTTTACATGCAGCCAATATCCGGGTTATGATCGGGTTAAGGTCGGTATTCGGGTTTCTGAGTTGATCAGCATAACCCGTTTACAAGCATAAGTAGAAAGAGTTACCCCTAACTTGCATAACCCGATTTAAATGCAGACGCTGGGGTAGCGTCAGGACGTATGGACTACGTCAAGACGCAATATGTGTCATTTCCGGTTCTTCTTGTTCTGGTATCCGTGAAAACAACAACATGTTTCCCAGTTCGGAAGAGATAGCAACCGTGTTTGTTTGCGCTTTAGTGCTGGTATTGACCCACCAGCAGACCGATGAAGACAGAGGTTTCCTCGTCACTCCAAAAAGTGTGGTGCTGTGCCGCGACTCGCCATGTTGCTCCCAACTTGTTTACTTCCGGTGTTCTGGCACATACAAGACGTCTCGCTACTCAAAAGACCAAGATTCCTTGCGAACAGAGCATGCGCAGAACACACGCTTTGATGAGGATATCCCGATATGCGTTTACACGACCAAACATTCGGGTTAGAAAAGGGTTACCCCAGGTGTAGGAACCTGAGCATATCCGGGCTTTTCGTGGTGTTTACATGGCCGTGCGAAACCGGGTTATTGTGAATATTCGGGTTTTAAAAGGGTTACTGGCTGCATGTAAATGCACTCTATGTAATCTCTATTAGGTCACATTCTTTTCTGGTTAGGATTTATTTTAATGGGTCTCTTTTGGTAGCCTGGTCAGCCATGCCAATGTGTCCTTATGGGAAGCAAAGGGCCTGGTAACGCCCCCATTCAAATAACCCCACCCCCTGAGAATTCTAACCGAGCCAATCAGCGCTGAGCAGCGAACGTCACCCACCGCGACACAGAGTTTATGAGCTGTCATAAACAATGGCTATGATGTAGCTCATCACCACCAGTGTGTGAATGTGTGGGTGAAAGAGTCACTGAGGTGTAAAGTGCTTTGTAGTCCTCTGACCTTACAAGGGCAGGCAATTTGTTGGTTACTTGATTTTCATTGCATTAGATTTGCACAGATAAGGTCAGATCATTTTATTTTAGTTTTCAGACCTGACTTTTGACCTCTGAACCCTCTCTAAACATTTTTGATGTATTGAAAATTTGACTGCTGTTGAATAGGTTGAACTGTGTTGAGGGCATGGCAGACCAGTGAAATAGTTAGTTTGGTGGCAGATATATCCAGGGGGTCATGGTTGTCATAACATAATGGTGACGTCTAAATTAAAATGACTTCCCTCAACTAAGTAGGAAAGAATCTAAAAAGCATCAGCAGCACACATGAACTTATCTTCATTTGTCTTCCATTTTTAAGCAGGCTGCTGGTGCCGGATTCGTTGCTGACTGGTCGGCAGATTTTGGTTCATTAGCAACAAATGGAGATGCTGTTGCTACCCAAGGTGCTCCAGCTGAAGGCCTGGAAGGGGAGCTGGGCAGCCCTCAGGTTGGGGCTCAGGGCTGGCAGCCAGGTGGAGACACAACTACATCTACGCAGAGCAGTTATCCCAAAGCAGTGGAAGATGAGGTTAGCAGATGGGAATCTTCAATTAACTCAAACAGTTGCTTCTCTGCACCCGGGACTGAAAAAGATGAAACTCACAAGGTGGATGCAGACAGTAACAGAATGGGCCAAGAAAATCGTAGGAAATCCACTCCAGGACTTATTTTCACTAATGAGTTTGGTGAGGAGTTTGAGGAGAGCACAGGAGACAGAGGAGACAAGTGGTCGAGGTCTCTCGATGGGTCTGGTTCTGAGTATGAGACTGCTGAAGAGTGGGGTGATGGTGGTCAGGGTTGGATGAGTGCCGAAGATGAACTTTCATATAGAGATCAAGACGCAATCACACCCTCAGAAGAAGAGGGACACATATCAGCAGGTCTTCCTCAAACAGAGACTATTTCACCTGAAGGCGATGGTTTGGAGGAAGACCTGAGACCAGTATCTAATCTGACACCAGTTATCAGACGTCTTTATGACCCTCCAGACCAAGACGGAGAGCAACATTTGTCTGCTAGAACAGAGATGTTTTGTTGTAAATTAAATCCAGATCCACTTCCTGGATCCCAGATAGGACTTGGATCTAAATCAGATCTGTTTGCCGAATCCCAGAATGGACTCTGGTCTGAATCGGATCTGTTTGCTGGATTCCAAAGAGGACCCGGGTCTGAATCGGATCTGTTTGCTGGATCCCAGAGAGAACCCGGGTCTGAATCAGATCTGTTTGCTGGATCCCAGAGAGAACCCGGGTCTGAATCTGATCTGTTTGCTGGTTCCCAAAGAGGACCCAGGTCTGAATCGGATCTGTTTGCTGGATCCCAAAGCGGACCTGGGTCTGAATCAGATCTGTTTGCTGGATCCCAAAGCGGACCTGGGTCTGAATCAGATCTGTTTGCTGGTTCCCAAAGAGGACCCAGGTCTGAATCGGATCTGTTTGCTGGATCCCAAAGCGGACCTGGGTCTGAATCAGATCTGTTTGCTGGTTCCCAAAGAGGACCCAGGTCTGAATCGGATCTGTTTGCTGGATCCCAGAGAGAACCCGGGTCTGAATCGGATCTGTTTGCTGGATCCCAGAGAGGACCCGGGTCTGAATCGGATCTGTTTGCTAGATCCCAGAGAGAACCCGGGTCTGAATCTGATCTGTTTGCTGGTTCCCAAAGAGGACCCAGGTCTGAATCGGATCTGTTTGCTGGATCCCAAAGCGGACCTGGGTCTGATTCAGATCTGTTTGCTGGTTCCCAAAGCGGGCCTGGGTCTGAATCAGATCTGTTTGCTGGTTCCCAAAGAGGACCCAGGTCTGAATCGGATCTGTTTGCTGGATCCCAGAGAGAACCCGGGTCTGAATCGGATCTGTTTGCTGGATCCCAGAGAGGACCCGGGTCTGAATCGGATCTGTTTGCTGGATCTGAGAGTGGACTCAAATCTGAATCGGATCTGCTTGCTGGATCCGAGAGTGGATTCAGGTCTGAATCTGATCTGTTTGCTGGATTCCAGAGTGGACTCAAATCTGAATCGGATTGGTTTGCTGAATCCCAGAGAGGACTTGGGTCTGAATCGTATACGTTTGCTGGATCTGAGAGTGGATTCAGGTCTGAATTTGATCTGTTTGCTGGATCCCAGAGTGGACCCGGGTCTGAATCAGATCTGTTTGCTGGATCCAAGGGTTTGTTTTTTTTCCAGTCTGATCCATTTGCTGAATCTTCAGGAGACGGTGGGGTGTTCTCTGGCACAGGAACCAGTGGGTGGGATTCAGACCCTTTTGCTAACTGCTACTCGGAGGTCTCCTCAGGATCTCAGTCGTGCAACGCACCCTTCTTAGATCTTAAGGACACTTCTATCCTCAAATCTTCTGCCACTCAAACAAAGGGTGGAATGGCAACAGAAGAAATGAAAGACATGTCAAAAATCCTCCGAGAGCCAGAGCATTCAGACATGTCTGAAGATGAGACTGCAAACCGGAGATTTGAGAAGTTGTACAAAGAGCTAGAAACAGAGAAGGAAGAGGTACTGACCTTCCTCCCTTCGTACCTTGATAGATTAGTATAGACTAGTGTAGAGGTTCAAACGGGATGCCCCGTTCTTGTACATGACCCTCACCTGGTTCCCGGTCTGACCCCATCCCTCGCTGTTCCATGTCTCAGTGCATGTGGGGGGTGGGTAGTGCCCAGTGATTTCTATTAAACCCATCCTGTCAACATGTAGAGCTGTTTTAGCCTGATTCCATAAACATGTCCCTCCTGATGTCCTAGTGTGTCTCACTGTCCTGCCACGTCTCCTGCAGCTTTTAATTGTGATTTTATTTCTTAAAACATTTTCAAATATTTATTCTGACCGTCATTTGAACTAATTTCCCTACCTTTGCTTCATGCTACCTGAAGGATGCTTCTGCTCCATCATTTTTTGCTGATTTTGACCAGATGGTGAGTTTTACAATCATTACTTTAATGGTAACAAGTAACTGATCCTGTTTGGTGTTTTAACTTAACTTCTGGAGATGCAAACAGAACAGAACAGATGTGTTTGGGAGGAATTGAAACAGGAAGACCATGAGCTGATTTAGGATCAAACTGTGATTTATGAAACATGCAAGCAGTCATTTAGGAGAAAACAGTCTCCACTGGCACAGCCACATATGAGGACAGCTTCACATGTGTGGTGGTTTTCTTTTCATAAAAGAAAAAAGGCAAAAGTGAAACGACAGAACCTCCCGTTACATCAGAAACACAAGCTGCTGATGGAGAAGACCCACCTCCATCAAGTCCTGCTGCAGAAGACGAGTGGCGGGGTCCTGCTGCTGCTGCTGCTGAGGCCGTTGTGACTCCATCTGTGGACGGAGAAGTAACAGGAACTCGAGCTGCACCTGCTGGTGAGAAAGAGGAACAGCAAGCTCCTTCTGCTGAAGAACACAAAGCCTCAGATGAGTTACAAGATCAAACACCTTCTGTAAGTTTTACTGAAAATCATCATCATTACCATCATCATCAGCATAATCATCATCATCACAGTCACCATCATCAATATCATTACCATCGTCATCAGCATAATCATCATCATCATCATGCGCATAATCATCATCACAGTCACCATCATCAATACCATCATCATCATCATCATTAGTACCATCATCATCATCATCATCATCATCATCATCAATTCCATCATCATCACTATCACCATCATCATCTTCATCATCAATTCCATCATTATCATCATCATCACCATCATCATCATTATCACCACCATCATCATCATCAGTCACCATCATCATCATCGTTATCACCACCATCATCATCATCATCAGTCACCATCATCATCATTACTATCACCATCATCATCATCATCATCAATTCCATCATCATCATCATCATCATCAATTCCATCATCATCACTATCACCATAATCATCATCATCATTAATACCATCATCATTATCATCATCATCGTCATCATCACCATCGATTCCATCATCACTATCACCATCATCATCATCATCATCATCACCACCATCATCATCATCATCATCATCGTCATCATCATCATCATCATCATCGTCACTATCACTACTGTAAGAGTTGGTAAATTGAGTGCTTTAAGAGCTTAATTTATTACTTCTGCTTATGACCAATAAGCTGTGATACTCTATATAAATATAGAACATCAACCTGCTTGGTCTTTGGATGTTTAATCAGAAGATTCTAGGATTCTTTGTTTGTTCAGGGATTGTAGAACACTTCGTCTTGATTCAAGGAAAGAGTCAGGTTTATAAAAGTAAGAATTTATTTTCCAAACAATTCAAACATGGCAAGTTAACTAATATTACTGTGAGTGGATGGATCTAGGTGGATGGATTGTGATCTATGGTGCCTATGTGTAAATATGACGTTATCAGAACTTTCGTATCTAGAAGAACTGAGTTCTGGGTGTAAAAGGGAAGAATTTGGTTTGTGTTAAGCTATGAAGTTGATTTTTGTCAAAAAGGCGTCAGACACAATCTGTCATGTCTACGTACCCCAAGTGGAGACTCTTTTGGATCCGAGATGTCAGGGGGTCGGGTGACCCCAAGGTACCAAAGTCCGTAGGAAAACCGCAGTACGACCAGGTCAGTCCAGAGTCATCTCCAGGTTACGACAGGTTGTAATTAGTTTGCGTCTCGAATGGACTCTTAAGGAATCTTGCATCAGCTTTGTTCTGCAGGAACCGTTTGCTGTGTCAGCAGTAGGCAGCTTTTATCAGGGTTTTGGCAGCTTGCCGTCCCAAAACATTCTCTAGAACTGAATGCTGAGTGATGGAAAGCTGGAATGCGACTGCAGAGTCACCACAGTGATACTGTTTTAATATTCTCATATTTCCCACTGATTTACTAACAAATCAGAATCGGCCATGTAAGAAAAGTTTTACCAAGAACCTCAGAAAACACACCTTCTTGAGATACCGGATGCTCTGATCTGGGGTAAAGAAATATCTGTGTGTCATGAATTTTACTTAACTTTAATTTGTTCTTGTGTCTGAGTGCATGTGACGATTGCCTTGTCATATCAAACATTACTGATTACCATATATATAAATCATTCAATGTAATACTTCATTTCATTTCAATAATTCAAGCATAGATTAATGAAACATTATTATTATTATTCATATAACATTTGTTAATTTTGTTTCATGAAAACGTTCACTTTATTGAGATAGTAGGCACTCCTGCGGTGTTATCAGGGCAGGCTTTGTTTGGGAACACAGGCTGACAACGTGTTCCTCCTGAAATGTCAACAAGGTTGCAGTATCCTTCTGGGCTTTTAGGAAGATAGAGCGTAAAATCCACCTTAGAGGATGGGACGCATGTCATCTTCATCGCCATCACTACCATCATCATCACTATCACTACCATCATCATCACTACCATCATCATCACCATCATCATCATCATCATCATCATCATCATCAATTCCATCATCATCACTATCACATCATCATCACCATCATCATCATCAATTCCATCATCACTATCACCATCATCATCATCATCATTAATACCATCATCATTATCACCATTATCATCATCAATTCCATCATCATCACTATCACCATCATTAATACCATCATCATCAATTTCATCATCACTATCACCACCATCATCATCGTCATCACTATCACTACCGTCATCAACACCATCATCACCACCGTCATCATTATTACAATCATCGCTATCACCACCATCCTCATCATCAGTTCCATCATCATCTTCACTATCACCATCATCGTGAGCTGTGGTGGCCTCTTTGGAGGCTGCCATCAGCCAGCACACTGCTGCCAACCACCTAACATTCTCTCTCTGTTGATGATAAAATTTAGCTTGATGTAAATTCAGAGTTTAAAGTTTCTGTATTGTTGCTAATGTTAATGTTAGTTTAATGTAATGTTAGTTTCCTGAATTGATGTGTTTAATCTGTTTTTCCTCCGAAGCCCACAAATGGAAGTCCATGCTCTAAGGAGCCCGAGACTGCTGAGGTAAGTAGAACTCAGTAACGTTCTCTGTATTGGATGGAAGTGAGGAGTGGCAGTACTGAGTCCTAGTTCTATTACAGCGCTGGTTAAAGCAGATCCTGGTATTCATGTAACATCCAGAATATCTTTTTCATTCACTCAACAGATTGCTCCTGCTGATGAGACAACTTCTTCAACTGAAGCAACTTCATTGGTAAATATTCCTTAACATCATTGAGATGTTGACCAGACCGGAATGGGACTCAAGACATTTACTCAGACAAATTTAAACCTCAAAATATTAATACATCACCAGCCCTCATCAGATGCAGTGATTTATGATAAATATCAGTGGTCAAAGTGAACAGAGTGATCAGAACCTTGGTCTGGTTCTTCAGATCACATCTTTGTTTTCAGTAGACCTCACTGTGTCCAGATAACAAGAACACACTGGATACGTTTCAGCTGAACAGGGTAGACTGTCTGCTTCTGGATGGAAATGAGCTAATCTGGGTGAAGCGGATCAAGTATCTCAAGGTGAAATTCACTAGTGAAGGTAGAATGAAGGTACAGAGGAGTGGACTGGGGCTTGGTCTTCAGCCATCTAAACCTGTTGTGGTGAAGAGCTGAGCCAAAACTAGAAGCTGTAGAGTTAGGCAAGGCAGCTTTATTTGTATAGAACAACTCAAACACAGGCAATTCAAAGTGCTTTAAAGAATCAAGAACCGCAAACATTTACCCACCAGTTCAAAATGTACCTCCCACACCATCGCCCTCATTCACCTACTGTTGGTAGAAAGTGTCCGCGTTCCATCCCATGAATGAAAACCAGAACATTCGTACGAACGGCCAAAATCCTGAGTTATGAAACTTGCTGTGGCCTCTCGTACAACCTGCTGATGATAAATCCCACCTGTGCATACCCAGGTCTAATGTTTATTCAGTCATTTACATACAGAAACACCCTCATTACCATATTTGGTCACACCACATCCATGAGGGGAACCCCTGAGATCTTAAGGAAACTAAAACAGAAACATCAGTGACAGCGAGATGGAGGCTCTAGCTGCTGAAGTAGAAGTTCTCTCAGCTCAGGAACCAGTAAAAGACAAAACGCTGCCTGGAGAAAGTGTCAGAGGTGGGAAGCGCGGTCGGACAGAGGAGAGGTTCCTGTCGGAAATAAAACAGGAAAACATGACCTCAGATAAGAATCTTGTGTCTGTTCTAGTCTTGTTAGATCTCCGTGCTGCCTTTGACACAGTTGATCACAATGTTCTTTTAGAAAGGCTTGAACATGTTGTAGGGATCAAAGGTACAGCGCTAGGCTGCTTTAAATCCTACCTGTCTGATTGATATCATTTTGTAAATGTACATGACAAATCTTCATACTCCAGGGTTACTTGTGGAGTACCACAGGGTTCAGTGCTTGGACCAAATCTTTTTACTATATATATGTTTCCAATTGGTAAAATCATTAGACAGCATGGGATAAACTTCCACTGTTATGCTGACGATACTCAGTTATCTTAGGTGTGTTCTTGCTGTGCGTTATTTCTAATTCCATTTTGTCGTTCTTTTATAAAACACAGAAACGGTTTTGTTACCTGTTATTGACGCTACAGTTTCGCCGACGGCTGCCGGCTTCTTCAGGCTGACGCTGATGGTGGCGCGTCACTTCCTTCTCTGTATATCTGCAGGCAGCAGAGGACGTTGTCGCCCTCTACTGCCCACTCTCCCCTCTCCGACGATGCAGTCCCATGCATGGTCCAGCGTGTAAACTCCGTCGTCCCTGTTCATGGTCCCACATCCACGTCTCCTTATCTCGATTGCTTCCTTATCGGATCATAACCACTGAACAACAAAAATACAAAAGATGGATCAAGGAAGCAATCGAGTTAAGCCATCCTCCACGACTCACTGGGGATCGAGAAGACAGAGCAGACACACACACACACACACACACACACACACACACACACACACACACACACACACACGTAATGTGTCTATAGTTATATTGTGATGTCTTAGTAAATATTGTATTTGGTTGAGAGTTAAACTTTATTGTATTTATCCTAGTGGATCTATAATTAAACGGATAAACTAGTATTAGCACATCAAAAGTCAATGAAAACAAAAAGTTATTATCAGGAGAGAGAGAATGTATTAGTGGTTCCCTTAAGATCATTGCGGTCGGCTGACCTGAAATTGCTTATCGTCCCTCGCACCCGATTTAAGATTCGTGGTGATCTGGCTTTTCAAGTCCTTGCACCCTCTCTCTGGAACCAGCTCCTGCTCACAAACAGTCCCCATCACTGGCGGTCTCGGTTAAAGCTCATTTTTATAGGATGGCCTTCTCCTAATGCTTTTGGTTTCTGTTTTTTATTCTTTTTTTATTTCTTTTTACTACTTAATTTAATTTTTTTTTATCTTAATGTAATCTCATTTGCATTTTATTTTTCTCACTAATGTCTATGTTATTTTTGTTTTCAGTGTTTTTATGACTCGCTACCACATTTTTCTTTGTAACTTTTCCTGTTAAGCTCCTTGGACCCCCTTTGAGGGTGGTGGACCGCACTATATAAATAAAGCATGATGATGATGATGATGACCACTTTCCACACTCGACTACTGTCTTCAACAATTTCTCTCTTAATTGCATTGTCTCAACTACAGTGGGGCAAAAAAGTATTTAGTCAGCCACCGATTGTGCAAGTTCTCCCACTTAAAATGATGACAGAGGTCAGTAATTTTCATCATAGGTACACTTCAACTGTGAGAGACAGAATGTGAAAAAAATCCATGAATTCACATGGCAGGATTTTTAAAGAATTTATTTGTAAATCAGGGTGGAAAATTAAGTATTTGGTCACTTCAAACAAGGAAAATCTCTGGCTCTCACAGACCTGTAACATCTTCTTTAAGAAGCTTTTCTGTCCTCCACTCGTTACCTGTATTAGTGGCACCTGTTTGAACACATTATCTGTATAAAAGACACCTGTCCACAGCCTCAAACAGTCAGACTCCAAACTCCACTATGGCCAAGACCAAAGAGCTTTCGAAGGACACCAGGAAAAGAATTGTAGACCTGCACCAGACTGGGAAGAGTGAATCTACAATAGGCAAGTAGCTTGGTGTGAAAAAATCAACTGTGGGAGCAATGATCAGAAAATGGAAGACATACAAGACCACTGATAATCTCCCTCGATCTGGGGCTCCACGCAAGATCTCATCCCGTGGGGTCAAAATGATCATGAGAACGGTGAGCAAGAATCCCAGAACTGCCATGTGAATTCATGAATTTTTTTTCACATTCTGTCTCTCACAGTTTAAGTGTACCTAGGATGTAAATTACTGACCTCTGTCATCATTTTAAGTGGGAGAACTTGCACAATCGGTGGCTGACTAAATACTTTTTTGCCCCACTGTATATTGGAGTGTTTACTGTGTGAAGAGCCTTGAGACGACTCTTGTCATGATTTGGTGCAATAGAAATAAACTGGAATTGGATGGATGGATGAATTGATGGACGGATGGATGAATAGAGGTTAGTGAGTTTGATGAAAGCTGGGTTCTCCTCCCAGGAGAAGATGCCGATCCCCTCTGTGGTTATTGAACCTGCCTCCAGTAACGAAGGTGATGATGACCATGACGCTGACATCATCTCACCTACGATAATAGGTGGTAACGTTGTGACAGGTGAGCATGCCAGCATCACACACATGAGTGCTTCTGGAGGAGCTTCAGGACTTCCTGCTGACTTTCTTTATAAGGTAAGCCTGTCTTCTTCTAACAGCAGCCCATAGAACGGGATCTCCTGTAGTTTGGGTTAGAACCATAACGGAAACTTTTCCATCCTGCAGGTGGAGACCATGCATGATTTTGAGGCTGCTAATTCAGATGAGTTGGACCTGAAGAGAGGAGATGTGGTTCTGGTTGTTCCTACAGCCTCACTGGAGGATCAGGTGAGCGCAGGTGCTGCAGCGTAGCTGTTGTGTTCCTCACCTGGTAAGCCTCTCTGATGATGATGTTTCTGCTGCAGGATGCCGGCTGGCTCACTGGGATTAAAGAGAGGGAGTGGATAACACTCGGCACCGGGGCTCAGAGAGGACTGTTCCCTGAAAACTTTATCCAGCGTTTGGAGTAACGACACCTGTCCATGAAATAAGGAACAAGTGACTAAATTCTGTAATCAGGTTGTCTAGTCAGCATGTAGCTAAGTGAACCCATGAGAGAAAGCTCCCACAGCGGTGTGATGCTGCAGAGTCAGAACCAGTCCTTAGGACGTCCCCAGACTTGACTCTTATTTCTAAGCATGATGTAAACGTGTGTTTCACCCTCTCTGCTAACTACATGTTTCAGTGTTAAAATAGTCACGTGAAAATATGAAGATAGATGTTAGAAAGAAGTCTGGATGGTTTAGAAGCTGTTGTAAAGATTGTTCCAACGAACTGGTGCCGTTCTCTGAAAGTGCTTCTCAGTGTGAATGAAAACTGTTTATTGGTTCTCACCATCGTCATGATTAGGTTCTAATATTTAATACTTTTCTGTGTCATTGATCTAAGTGTGTGTGGTCATCAGTGTTTCATTTGTAGACATTATTCTGTCTGGATTTATGAAGAAATTGGTGCAAAGCAGGCAGAAAATGTGAATTTTACTTTGAAAAATGAAAAAAGTCTGACATTTTTCAAAGAAAAAAATGTGAACTAAGCAAATAAAAAAGCATCTGCACCATCTAGTATGCACCCATTTTCTGGCTAAAATAATCCCAAGTAAAGAAACCAGAACATATTATTAACATCAGAACCAAGACCCAATCACCGTCGGCAGGAGCGGACATCCTTCCTGCTTTCAGCCGGAACAGCAGCATCAGAACCAAAGGTGAAAACCTGAAGGAGCCTGCGTCTGAAGAAGAAGAAACCATCTTTTATGTACCGCTTCTCAAGACAAAATCAAAAGGCACTTCACAAGAACAATAAAAAAATGAAATAAAGACATTTCAAAATTACTAAAATATAATAAAAATGGGAAAAATAAAATTTCTGAAAAAAAAAATGTAAGGGAAGGGAGAGAAAATGTATAAGAAAGAGGAAATCAGTGGAACCCGGGAAAGGCGGAATAAGAGCAGCGGATGGTGTTGAAGGCCCCACCAAAGCCTGAACAGGTGAGTTTAAAAGAGACCACTGATCTCTGAGGATCTCAGTCTGATCTTCATTCAGCTGTAGGAAGTTCCCAGCCATCCAGGTTTAATAGTTTAAGCAGGTGTGGAACAGCTGCAGCTTAGACATCTCATGGGAATTAAAGGAGATGTACAGTTGGATGTCATCTGCGTAAAGATGGTAGGAGATTCCTTTAAAGGAGCTCAGGATGTGCTGAGGAGGAAGAGCAGAGGCCCCAGCACAGAACCTTGTGGGACACCATGGGAGGTGGTGGAGGACCTAAACTTGGAGACAACCACAAAGAAGCAACGCTCAGACAGATAGATCTTCAGATGCTTCTTCAGGTCTTTCCCGTCCACAGCTGAACGTGTTTGCACCTGAACTGACCCGCTCTGACCTGAACCTACACTGACTTGTATAAAGTAGCTGCTTCTCTAATTATTGATTCCCTATATTATTATAATTTCTTTGTTTATTTCTTAATTCTAATTTAGCTTATTTATTTGTTCTTGCACCAAGTACCGCAGCCATTTCCTGATGTGATTCCCGCACATATGGATATAAAACCTTCTGGTTCTGATTATGAAAAATAGACCCCTCTTAGGTATACTTCGTCTTCCCAGAACTTTGGCCAGAGCTCAATCTGAAGACTTCATAGAATAATTCCTAAAACACAGAAAATGTTTTAAAGATTCAGTGGTCACACAGGATCTCCATCAGAACCGAACCCAACCACAGGTTGGGCCAACATTTTATCCTGCTTCCTGGACCAGGTGACCAGATTTACAATGGTTTTCTCCATGTTTAATGCTCCTTCTGTCGTCCTGAAAAAAAGGATGTAAAGCTCTCTAAACCAGTCATCTGCTCTACTTTGTGTCTGCTTCAATGACATCATTATGGTGAGACGAACATTTGTAGTCCTACGCATCTTTTCACACAAAACCTACAGTAAGTTTTGCTGCCTGCAGAAAGTCAGCACTTAACATAAAAATGTGTTTAATCTGTGACACATATCACTCAGGATTTATCCTCTCATAGACTTGCATTCATTTTGTTAGGGTTTGGAGCCCCTTTGTCTGGAAGTGAAAGGGGTCTCTACTGTGGGGTTTTGGAGAGAAAGGGGCAGTACCAGGATGTGGTGCATGTCCTGTCCTCTGATCTCAAAAGTCCTGACAGATTCTGAGCCTTAAACAAGATTAAAGGAAATCCTCTCCAGGCTTCAGCTGCTCACCGTTTCAGGAATTCATCCCGACTGAAGCGACGTTTTTTTTTGTGAAGGACCAAACTCTGAGACGAAGGTAAGCATTTTATTTATCTGTTTATGAATCTAGTTTGATGTTAGTTTAGGTTAGTTGTTACCTGAGATTACCTGTCTGAACCTACAGAATCCAAAACCAGATAAAGAGAAAAGTCTTCATTCAGTTTTTATTCAACCTCACAGATCTGTGTGTGTGTGTGTGTGTGAGAGAGAGAGAGAGAGATTGGCTCAGGGGTCAGGACTTCACCCTGTTATCATCTGGTTACTGTCTGACAGTCAGACTTGGTGTCTGAGTGTTTTTAAAAGAACATCAGTTTTAATAACCCTGTTTAACACCATCAGCAGCATCGTCTCTCCTGCCTCTCCTACAGCCTCCATCCACTCTGTTACAGACTGTGAGAACTTTCTGTCTTTCTTTGTGGACAAAGTCAATAAGGTTAGATCTAGCATCTCTCCTTCAGCCTTATCTCCGCCTCTCCCGATTCCAACCCGGCCCATTATCCTAGATAGCTTTGCTCCTGTTTCTTTGCCTGATTTAACCAAACTAGTTAACTCTACGAAGACCTCTGCATGCCCCCTCCACATCTTACACTCATCTTTGTTTAAAAGTGCTTTTCAGTCCATCGGTCCCAGCGTGCTCTCTATAATTAATGCTTCTCTGGTTTCTGGTCAGGTCCCTGCTTACTTTAAAAACGCTGTAATCCACCCGCTTCTTAAAAAAACTGAGTCTTGACCCCTCTCTTGATGAACATAACATCTATGATAGTTTCCAGTCAGGTTTTATTTGTGCAGACCTACATAGCCCTGCTCTAGACCAGGGGTGTTCAATTCCAGTCCTGGAGGGTCGGTATCCAGCACGTTTTAGTTTCCACTCTGCTTTAACACACCTGATTTCAGTCAGCGGGTAATTAACAGGCTTCTGTAGAGCCTGATGAGCAGGGCCACCTTAACCAGCTGATAGGCCCCAGGGTAGAGAGGCTCAGTAGGCCCCTCTTGGGGGAATGCAGGTGTGCACTGGTGGAGGAGGTGCTCTGGATAGCTATTTTAGTCAGGTGATTGTATTATATTCTTGTAAGTGGTTGTCCTTCCTTTTCTTTTTCTGTCCCTGAAACCCTTATTCATGCATTCATCACATCACAAATCCACCAATACAACAGTAGCTGGTGTCCCATCCAAAACCTTCACCAAACTTCAACACATCCAGAATCTCCTAACCCACATCTCTCTTGTCTATTCAACACCTCCTTTGGCTTCTTCTCACTCACAGCATCACAAGTCCTTCAAAACTTGGCCCCTCCTACCTCTCTGACCTGCTCCACCACCGTGCCCCATCCCACTCCCTCCCCCACCTATGACCGTCTGAGTTTGCCTGGGTTAGGGTTAGGGTCAGACGGACCGGAACCTCTGAAGATACAGCTGTTCTCCCTCCGGCAACTTGAAGTGAGGAGTTGTGACACGTCTGTCTTTTATTCTTTAGTTTGTGCTCCGAACATCAGCACTGATCTAAAAGGTTTTCTCCATTAAAACGTTGCTATGAATGAATGAATGAATGAATGAATGAATGATTTTATTCACTACATCATTTCTTTACCTGACAAAAACAGTTATACAGATCACCTCCTCCTCCACCCTTCATTTCAAGTTTCCCTACATCCAGAGCAGCACACCCTGAAATGATCTAAATTGTTTGATTGGTCAGCTCATGGTCCAGAGGTCACACGGGAGATGTAGGTCATCTATAATTTGGATCAATTAGCAGCTAAGCTGAATGACTGAAAACCTGACAAATAATAAAACTGCATTTTTGTGTTTGTTTAACCAAAAATGATGGGCCCCTAAACCTCATAGGTCCCTAAACTTCATAGGCCCCTAAACCTCTTAGGTCCCTACATCTCATGGGTCGCTAAACCTCATAGGCTCCTTGGTCAGTAGCTGGACGTAACATGCAGCAGTTCCATCAGGGTTATCCTTGGAAACCTTAAAGCAGGCTTTGTTAAGTTGAGATGGTTAATGTAACATATTTACCCTCAGAGCAGTGTTTCCCAAGCCTGGTCCTCAGGGACCACCATCCTGCTTGTCTTTCATGTTGCCCTTTCAAACACCAGTTTGTCTCTGCTGCCACACACCTGACTTGAATGTGTGATTAACCGGTATCTGCAGCTCTTGACGTCCTCCTGAGTAGCCAATGTAAATCAGGTGTGCTGCAGCAGAGACATGGAAAACATGTAGGACAGTGGTCCCTGAGGTCCAGGGTTGGGAAACACTGCCTTAGAGGAGGTAGACGGTACTTCTTCCAACGTGGTTGCTCTCCAGGAGTGGTCAAAGATTGGAAGCAACTTTTACAGTTTAGTCCAAAGTCAAACATCACATCAGTAGTAATGAAAAAGCTCAGAAAACTTTCAGTTAAGCAAAATCCCAATTTCAAAAAACTCCAAATGATTTTAAAGGCATAAACATTGATCTTAGTTCTGCCTTAAGCTAAGTTTTTTTACTTTGACTAAAGTACGACTTGTTAAAATGCTCCACACCAAACAAGTCAAAGTATTTTGTGTTTATTTTCTCATGAACCACCGCTAGTTTGTTGCACCTGAACTCAGTAAACAAAGTGTTTATGCACCAAGTAGAGCGTAAACATGATTACAAGCTAACCATGACATTCACCCCCTGCAGGTCGACAGGATGCAGCCTACCTGGTTGCTAGGGGCATGTCTCTGGGTGCTATGTATACCTGTGGCTCATACAGCTACCTTTAAACTTGCTCTTGTTGGCCCATGGTCATGTGACCCGATGTTCTCCAGAGCAATGGCAACAGCTGCGGCTAACTTAGCACTGGCTCGGCTGCATAGCGACGGCGATGTGAGTCGAGGATACTGGTACGATGTGAAGCTGCTCAATGAGGACTGCTCAGCCTCCAAAGGTTTGTTAACCAACCAGAGAATAACCAAAAACATTCATAAGCAGTAAAGTTGGCAGACCAATGAAACATCATAGTTTGCCTCAGTTTGTTATCCTGATCAGAACAATTCACACAGATGAAATGTGATCTTTTTTCAGCCCTCACTGAACTCGGGGAGATGGAGGGTTATGGCCATGCATACATTGGGCCCTTTAGCCCCGCCCTCTGCCATGCTGCATCTTTGTTTGCCCAGCATTGGGAGGCGGGTCTTGCTTCTCCAGGCTGTCTGGACGCTGACTGGCCAAATCTGCCTCCCATCACTCCTCCTACCAGAGTCCTCTTCACTGTGCTCAGATTCTTTAGCTGGGCGCACGTTGCAGTCATCTCAGGTGAGAGTACAGCACCATCATGGTGTAGATGGCCCTGCCAGCTGGGACATGAGATTATGGGATGCTTAAGAACAGTGTTAAAGTATCCTGTTTCCTCATGCATCTCCTATCTAGATGTGTCATTTTACTGAACTTTTACAGATCTGCCATAACGTGTTAGAGCTCGAGGTTTTTCTAGGTCCAGGTGGACTGATACTCTAAGCAACTGTCTGACTTCAATGCCTTCTACATTCATTCACATGGGGTTTGTGACTTGTGTTGCCACGGTAGTAGTTAACAGGAAATCGCTTCATTTTCATAAAGTCCAATGTCCTATGACCCCTTAAAATCAAAATGATATAGGTGTATTGATAAGGCAAACTTGTCAAGTCAGGTTTATTTATAGGGCGCTTATAAAACAGCATGCTAGCTGACCTTAGTGCTGCACAAAACCATCAATATGCATAAAAAAGGATGACATCAAATACAAAACGGGTAAAAAAAAACGACAACAATCTAAACACTTAAAAAGCAGTAGTTGTAAAATACACATATAGACACGGGTATAAAGAATAAACTCAATCCCAGACGTCCAACCAAGGCATCAGTAGGGCCTGAGATCACACGGGATTATGCGTAGCATTCTGGGATGTGGCGGGCATGTTGGTAGCCTCACAAGTGGAAAAAAAACCAGTGAACACCAGAGAAAAAGCAGATTTGTGGAAAGAAAGTGTTAAGCAACATGTTAAAATCCTCAAAAGGATGCAGAATATACAGGGATGATAAATAGAGATGCCAGGGACCGTTGTGAACAAGATCAGCATTAGAAACGATTCGGATCCATGTGAAAGACCCAAAACTGGAGCACCGACAACAAGTTGTTGCTGCTGCAGTTCTGCATAGCAGACATTTTCTGTTATCTTGTTTGTGGTGTAAGTTGATGTAAACATTAGAAGACAAATGTTCGATTTGCTGTTTTTTTCTAGTAAAACCTTTAAAACTGTTGTCCCATAGAAGTGTAGCAGGAGAAGTGTAAGGTGTAAACCTTTACCTTGGGAACAAGTTTTAAGTTTCCTACGGTTATTGAATGCATCAGAGCATGTGGCGATCCTAAGCCAATCAGGAGCTAGGAATGGTTTTAAAGCATGCCCTGGCTTTTCTTCCATCAGACATGCAGGGAAAAGCCAGACTGATCCCACATTGCCGCTACTGCCTTTGGGTGCTGACGAGCGGTGGCGCCGCCATCTTGGATCGGTCGATCTCCCCCACCCACCCATCATTTCAAAACTGCATTTTGCGTTTACTTGTGTTATCTTTGACTAATGGTTAAATGTGTTTGATGATCAGAAACATTTTGTGTGACAAACATGCAAAAGAATAAGAAATCAGGAAGGGGGCAAATAGTTTTTCACACCACTGTATGACAGAGGAGCAGAAACTACTACTCAGCCATTTTAATAAACAATATATACAGTATAATTTTTATAGATTACAACAGAAATGTTTGTGTAATTCTTATACATATAGTGTTTAGGGATGGGTACCTTTGACATTTGAATCGATCCGGTACTAATTCCCGGTACCTACAAATCGATATCGGTACTTAACGGTACCAATTTTCGATACTTTTGAGTGTTTATTATTTTAATTCTCTTTTATAATTAAATATAAATTTTTCTCAATATATAACAATATTTGATAAATATCACGATAAATAACATTCAACTGTTTGTATTAACATCGTCCTTGTAGTTTTATAAGCTGATAATTAAACTGAAGCAAACATCTTTACTGTGAACTAAATTTACTGTGTATCTTCATTCCTTTTGCTGTCTTTTTTCATTTGATTTTTCCTACTGGGAAGTTAGAATTTCCGAGGAGAAAGCGAACGCACCATTAGGTGATTACAATGGTAGCAATGGAAGCTAACATACCAAGCTAACGTTATCTTAAACAGTTTATTTAGCTGCTGGAGCAGATTAAAACGATGATGCCTCACACTTAGATCATTGTCACTGGTTTTGTCTTCACCCGTCACATTTAGTAAAGTGAAGCCAAACTTTAGAGCGCGTTCATGTTCTTCTAGTCGGGAATTCGGAGTTCCGAGGAGAAAGTGAATGCACCATTAGCGAAACGGAAGCTAACATATCAAGCTAATTATATTTACCTACTGGAGCAGATTAAGATGAGGATGTCTCACTTAGATCGTTGTCGCTGGTTTCATCATCACCCAATTACCCATCACATCTAGTGAAGTGGACCCAAGCTTTAGCCTGCGTTCTTTCTCCATGCTGCTCTGTTTACAACTGGTTCACAGCGAGCGACGACATAACGCTCTTGCGCATGCGCAGCTGTCTTGGCAAGTTCTCGTTATGATGGACGGGTACCGAAACAAGGCACCGTCACGAAATGACGTGAATCGGTGCTCGGTCGGTACTATGGAATTCGGTCGGTACCTTAAAAAGTACCGAATTCAGTACCCATCCCTAGTGTCAATATAATTCAGAGAGGGTGAGAGAGAACAACTAGAACAAAGTCTGGATGATGGTGTTTCTCAATGTCAAGGCACCTGGCCTTGCGAGGCGATGTCTTGCGAGGCACCTTACTTACGAGGACACAGTCCTTCCTTGGTCAAAGAAAACAGTTAAATGAAACAGACTTGCATCACGTGACCGCGGCTTCCACGGTGGTCACGTAATGTCACGTGACACGGGAGATAACTATATATTTTATTTGTATTAGTTTCAATATGAGAATATGGAACAACCTTAGCAAAGACATGAAAGAATCAAAGTCACTAAATATATTCAAAAAATGTATCAAATCAAGTGTACAGAACTACAATGACCTAAATTCAGTTGGTGTCTGATTAGGTCTGTAAGTTAAAACAATATAAAATTAATTTGTGTTTTGTTTTGTTTTGTTGTTTATTGAGAATTGTATGGAAGCATTATTAAAAAGTTTGGTTTGTAAATAGGGGCAGATAACATAAGATATTTCTTCCTTCTGCCCCTTTTCATTCAAATTGTTTGGTGTTCATGTTAATGTATGTTTTTTTGTATATATATATATATATATATATATATATATATATATATATATATATATATATATATATATATATATATACATATATATATACATATATATATACATATATATATACATACATACATATATATATACATACATACATATATATATACATACATACATACATATATACATACATATATACATATATACATACATATATATATACATATATATATATATATATATATATATATATATATATATATATACATATATATATACATATATACATATATATACATATATACAATTTTTAAAATATATATATTTAACACTTTGAATGAAACAAATAAAGAGAAAAAAGAGAATATAAATATATAACGAGCCTTTTACTTTCTAAATTGTGTATATGTTTATTAAATTAAAAATATAAGCGAGTTACTACCCGCTAGCCACCGAAGCTGCAACTACTAAGCAACTAACCAACAATAGATAACTTCTTTGGATCAAAAAAAAACCCCATTTTAAATTAAAGCTGCAAGCAGCGTTGTTCGGCCCTCGCAGCTCAGCGCCGCTCCGGCCTGGCCGGCAGCTTCTGGGCCGGAGGCAGAGTTGCTGCGGGAGGGGTGGCCTGGACAGGCTGGACCAGATGCGGTGCAACCTCCGGGACCATCGCTGGAACTGGAGGCTGTGCGTCCACCGGGGCCACCGCTGGAGCAGGCTGCGACAGAACAGGTTGTGCTGGAAGCTGTGAGAGCAGGGAGGACAGACCGTCCAGCTGAAACTCTTTGAGGCTGAGCGTCCGATGGAGCTGGGCCAGCTCAGCCCGGAGACCGGCGAGCTCCGCTGGGTGAAGCCCGGGCTCGCTTCTCTGGCCCTGAGATGAGGAGGATAGAGCGTCCAGGCGGGATTCCTGGAAGCTGATGAGCTGGCGGAACCGGCCGAGCTCCGCCTGGAGACTGACGAGCTCTGTCAGCTGGGCTGCAGCCAACGTTCCTCCCGCTGCAGATGGCGGAGGCGCCGATTGGGTTGGAGACAGAACTGCTGGTCTGGCCGGGGGCGTGTCCAAACTGCTGCGCAGAGCTGGGGCAGCAGCGGGCTCACAGCTCCGTCCCGGAACACAGGACTGTGGTGGAGCCCGGTGTCTTTCCCCACGCTGTGGACCAACCCCGGGGGAGCACACAGCCAGACGGGTCCCCATTAACTGGAGTGATCCGAATGCGTCTCTCGATCCGGTCTTTCATCAGTCGCTGGGAGGGTGGAGAGGATGGCCGAGGGTGCAAGCCGGCGCCGTCGTCCGCGGCGAGGCAGAGCTGGAGCTGGAGAAGCCGGGTGGTGGCTCGGAGCGAGCCACTGGAGCAGGTACTCCCACGGGAAATCTCCCCGCTGGATCCTTCAACTCGTTGCCTCATTCTGTCAGGACGTGCCGGTGAGTGGAGCGGAGGTGAGGATCCAAATGCAGGGGAGAAGGCAGGTAAACAGAAACGTTTTAGAGGGATTTTATTCACAGACACATGGGACATGCAAACAATGAGGCAACAAGAGACAAAGAACTGGAGGGGTTTAAATACAGGAGGGCTGGGTGCTTGGGTGATTGGGAAACGAGAGGCAGGTGGGAGCAATCAACAGGGACACAGGCTGAACCAAATGGGGAGACAGAACAGGGTGTGACACCATGTCCCTGTAACTTGTTCCTTAAAACGTTTATGAAAAATATGTTGCGAGGTTAAGCCGATCTCGTCATTATGTAATTCAAACGTAGTTCTCAGCAGACTAGCTTGTGGTTGTTTTTTTGGATCAAAACTAATTTCTTTCCTTGATATGGGCTAGATGCAGCTGGATGAGTGGTAGATGAAAAGCCAGCAAAAAAGAGACTGTCATGTTGTGGGCAAGCTGTTTAACCCAGCTTGTGAAGAACCACACGAAAAAAAAAACAGGTAAGTAAAATAGTAAAATGATTTATTAACTGAGGATAAGGAAAACTA